ACTCGTTATGGAAAATCCATTAGAACTGCACCGTATTAGTATCCGTGTACAGGATATTAATGATAATTCACCACAGTTCAAGGAGGATTCGCTTAGAATTGAAATTCAGGAATCAGCAGTCAAGGGCGCGCGATTCCTTCTTGGAGAAGCACACGATGGAGACATCGGAGAAAATGCTGTTCAGGGCTACTCACTTCAACAGAATGATCACTTCAAATTAGATGTAAACACAAAGGCTGGAGGAAGAAAATATTGTGAACTAGTATTAGAGAAAGAATTAGACAGAGAAGACAAAAGAGAGATCATGCTCTTGCTAACTGCATTTGATGGTGGCTCTCCTCAGAGATCAGGTACTGTAGCCATACACGTCACTGTCCTGGATGCTAATGATAATGTACCAGTGTTTAGCCAGACCGTCTATAAAACCAGTCTGCCTGAAAACTCTCCTCTAGATACATTGGTGATCACAGTGAGTGCAACTGATGCAGACGAGGGAGTGAACGGTGAAGTTACTTACGGATTTGATCATGTTTCAGATGAAAATGATAACGTGTTTTCTTTACACCCCAAATCGGGAGAGGTGAGAGTAGCTGGAGCTATTGATTATGAGAAAGTGTCATCCTATGATATGCAGATCAGCGCCAAAGATGGTCTGGGTTTAGTTTCATATGCTACGTTAATGATTGAAATTACTGATATAAATGATAATGCTCCAGTTATATATCTAAAATCACTGTCTAACCCCATACCTGAGAACGTGTCACCTGGTACAGAGGTGGGCATCATTAACGTGCAGGACAGAGACTCTGAGAATAACAGACAGGTCCGCTGCTCCATTCAGCAGAATGTCCCTTTTAAGTTGGTTCCTTCCATTAAAAACTATTATTCTCTGGTGACCACAGGACAACTGGACCGTGAACTGGTGTCTGATTACAACATTACAATCACTGCCACTGACGAGGGCTCTCCACCTCTGTCCTCCTCTAAAACTGTTGAGTTATCTGTAGCTGACATCAACGACAACCCACCTGTGTTTGAGGAACAGTCGTACAGCGCATATGTGACTGAAAATAACAAACCTGGCTCCACTTTATGTTCCGTTACTGCTCGAGACCCCGACTGGAGACAAAACGGTACAGTGATTTATTCTCTGTTAGCTGGTGAGGTGAACGGTGCCCCGGTGTCCTCCTATCTGTCTGTTAACGGAGACACGGGGGTGATCCACGCTGTGAGGTCGTTTGATTATGAACAGTTCAGGAGCTTTAAAGTCCACGTGATGGCCAGAGACAACGGTTCTCCTCCGCTCAGCAGCAACGTGACCGTGAGTGTCTTCATATCAGATGTGAACGACAACTCTCCTCAGATACTGTACCCCGCCCCGGAGGGCAACTCCTTCATGACCGAGCTGGTCCCCAAAGCTGCACACGGAGGCTCCCTGGTGTCCAAAGTGATAGCGGTGGACGCGGACTCCGGACAGAACGCCTGGCTGTCCTATCATATAGTGAAATCCACTGATCCGGGACTTTTCACTATTGGTCTCCACAGCGGAGAGATCAGGACACAGCGGGACATTTCTGAATCTGACAGCATGAAACAGAACCTTATTGTGGCAGTGAAAGATAACGGACAGCCCTCTCTCTCTGCCACCTGTTCCATGTATTTACTTATTTCTGATAACTTGGCTGAGGTGCCAGAACTGAAGGATATTTCTTATGACGAGAAGAATTCCAAACTGACCTCTTACCTGATCATCGCTCTGGTGTCTGTGTCCACCTTTTTTCTGACTTTCATTATCATCATCCTGGGTGTGAGGTTTTGTCGCAGGAGAAAGCCCAGACTGTTGTTTGACGGAGCAGTCGCCATCCCCAGCGCTTATCTGCCTCCTAATTACGCAGATGTTGACGGCACAGGAACTTTACGCAGCACTTACAATTATGACGCGTACCTGACAACAGGTTCTAGAACCAGTGACTTTAAGTTCGTGACTTCGTACAATGACAACACACTTCCTGCTGACCAGACTCTGAAGAAAAGTCCATCAGACTTTGCTGATGCGTTTGGAGATAGTGATGCTTCCCCGGAGGTAGGGACAGCCGTCACGTGTGTTTTCACCTATTTCTATTTGTGTCTTAACGGTCCAGCCAAAGGCTTTGAGTAACATGTACTTGCTTTTATTATCATTTTTTGAATTGACCATTTGAACAGTGTAAGACACTTGTGATAAAGTTTACTCGTATGACTCAGCCTTAATGAATTGTCAATACTTTCATTTAATCCCACATGCATCCATGATAATGACACTGACGAAAGTTCGTCATGGAGAATGATAACTCGTAGCCTAATGTTTTAGGACCATGTCAGTTTAACTTTGGTGGTATTTTTCATGAATACACAGAAAATGTCTTTAAATCAGATACTTTAAATTTTATGGTCTTTGGAGAGACAATAGACATTCTTCTGTATATTTTTATCTAAAACTATATTCTCTGTTCACACAACATATCTGCCCATGTCTTTGCCCACAGCTGCATCGTTTACTTTGTGTCTGTCCTTTGAGTTTGGCGGGACAAGTTGGTGCCGTCTTTGGTGCTGAAAGTTGAATTTGCTCTTTTGTATTTTTTGAGTCACTTAACCTTGTCTTCCATTCTTACCATCTTTTCCTGACTAGACAGTGAGGAAAAATCCAACAGACTTAGCTGATTCTTTTGTAGAACCTGACATTTCCAACTTTAATACAAGGAGAAATTGACATGTTCTTTCCTTCTTTCTTTCTTTCTTACATAACATATATCTAATTAGGTTTTTTGTTCAGGTTTTTGTTGTGCAAGCATGAACCCATATCCCTAAAAGTACTCAGTAAATTGAATACGACAATTTTTTTAATTGAAACATCGTACAGAATGAAATAATAATACCATGAATCTTAGAACTTGCAATGGATACATCTTGTGGTGGAAAGAATGATATCTCACACTTTTGGCAAAATCAGTTGCAGTCACAGGGTTTCACTTACACAAATTATTTGGGAGACCATCTGACAGAAATGTTCAGGGTATAATTTGTATGTTTAATTTTGACACTCTTTGAGATCCACTTAAAACATTAAAACAGCTGTTTATTCCCTTTTCAAACCTGGATTATGTTTGGGGTGATGAGGTGGAAGGTTCCGTATGCAACTCTGGTGAAGGCTAAGAACACTGTGATGGTCAGAGAGCATCAGTGCCAGTGTTACATGGGCACGCAGAATATGGAAGGTGTTATATGCTGTACTAGCTGCCTCTTCCTAAGAGGTCAGGGGATTTTCAACAAATTATTTTTTGTCTAAGGTGCATCCTGCAGTTGGGGAGGACTGAGTTTTTTGACATGCTTTAGTCTGTGCATCATTTATCTATTTAATGTAAGTGAATGTTGTCATTGCTTTTTGTATTCTCCACTGTCCATGTGACGATAGGAGTTTGTTTCTCTGAGGAGGTGTATATTCTGAGGCAATGCAGCTAAGCGTGTGAATGTGTTTTGATTTGGTATGTGATAGTTTGATGGGTTGGTTTCCTGCTTTTAAAAGGTGTAGCGCACAGTTCTGTATGTAGAGGTAGGCAGACATGCATTGCTGCTTTTCAGGAAGTTTTTTTTCGATTTTGGCATTAATCAACACTAGATTTATCACTTTCTTTTTCTACTTTGGTAGATTGTGACAATGAATTGTATTTATGTGGTCTTCCAGTGCATAAGAGGTTTAATGTGTCAGAGACATAGTTTACAGTGTCTGCATGATAATATGTTGTGAGGAGACTTTGCTTATTAACACCAGCCAGAGATATTTGGTTTTTATATTCATTTAGAGAATCGCCTTAATTTTTGAAATTTAAGACTGCAACTCACTGTAACAATTAGCAATTTTTTACACCCACAGTTTGTTATGACGGTGCACAAAGTCGTAAACCAAGTGATACATTTCCTCTATAATTCTAAGATGTTACTTTTACATTGTTGTTATTATTGTTATTATTATTATTATTATTATCATTATTATTCATTTTTATTATTGTTATTTCTAGGCATATTATCATTTGTGCAGTGTGTTATTTCTTCACTTAATCCCAACTCATGGTGTCGCTATTCGCTAATCTACATGAAACATTTCCACTCACCTCTGGCTTGTGGAGACCAATAAAAGGCTACATTTTTGTTTGGTGTAGGATTCATCCACAGTAACGGTGGCGCGCTGGTCGATTTTCTTTTTGCGGAACGGATACATCTAATTCAGTTTGAAATCTCAACGATACCGTTTTTCTTAGTACCAGACTCATTGTCATGATGGTGCGGGCCAAATGAGCTGCTTCGTTTTCTTTCTATTGTGGCAAGCAGCGAATGGGGGACGTGAGTTATTCCTTTCAGGAGGAAATGAAAGCGCGGATCTCAATTGGGATATAGCGAAGGATCTTAACTGGACTCGAGTAAAACTGTCTTCTAGAAACGCCCGTGTTGATGCCGCAGGGAATCGTAAACGATATTGTGACATCAATCTCCAATACTGGGAGATTTGATTGTTGCCGACAGGATTGACCGAGAGGAGCTCTGTGGAGAAAAGCTGTCGTGTGTTAATAAAACGCGATCTCGTTTTGGAAAATCCCTGGAGCTGCATCCCGTTCAGTCTACACATTCAAGATATTAATGATAACTCACCACAGTTTAACGAGAATTTATCAAATATAGAAATTCAAGAATCCACAGGCGGGGAGCTCGTTATTGTGATAGAGGAGGCACACGATGCGGATGTAGGCCCAAAATTCAGTCAAACACTACAGCTTAAAGAAGAACGAGATTTCGTTTGGCTGTTGACGAAAACACAATAGAGCTCGTTCTTGATAAAGGAGGCTTGATCGTGAAAACAGGAGGACATTAATTTTGGCTCTCACAGCTCTAGATGGTGGCTCCCTCAGAGATCAGGTACCGTATGTCATACACGTCACTGGTGCTGATACCAATGATAACGCCAGTGTTTAGCCAGGCCGTTTATAGAGCAGTCTGCCTGAAAACTCTCCTTTAGATATGTGGTGGTCACAGTGAGCCGGACTGATGCAGACGAGGGAGTCAATGGAGATGATGTTGTCATTGACATCGGTGACTTCAACAGTTACTTTTGTGTATGACGATAATCCTAAACCATCTTTTGCTTTAATGCGCAAATCATATGATGTAACAGTTTCAAAGTCAATCGCACCATTAACTTTAATCATCCCGTTTTTACGGTCAATACTAAAAACTTTCTTCACATCTTCAGTAACATGTCCAAAGTCATATGTCACATCTCCATTGACTCCTTCGTCTGCATCAGTCGCGCTCACTGTGACCACCACAGTATCTAAAGGAGAGTTTTCAGGCAGACTGGCTTTATAAACGGCCTGGCTAAACACTGGGGCGTTATCATTGGTATCCAGCACAGTGACGTGTATGACTACGGTACCTGATCTCTGAGGGGAGCCACCATCTAGAGCTGTGACGAGCAAATTAATGTCCTCCTGTTTTTCACGATCAAGCTCTTTATCAAGAACGAGCTCTATTGTGTTTGCGTCAACAGCCAAAACGAAATTCTCGTTCTTCTTAAGGCTGTAGTGTTGAACTGAATTTTGGCCTACATCCGCATCGTGCGCCTCCTCTATCACAAAACGAGCTCCCCTGCCTGTGGATTCTTGAATTTCTATATTGATCAGTTCTCCGTTGAACTGTGGTGAGTTATCATTAATATCTTGAATGTGTAGACTGAACGGATGCAGCTCCAGGGGATTTTCCAGAACGAGATCGCGTTTTATTACACACGACAGCTTTTCTCCACAGAGCTCCTCTCGGTCAATCCTGTCGGCAACAATCAAATCCCCAGTATTGAGATTGATGTCACAATATCGTTTACGATTCCCTGCGGCATCAACACGGGCGTTTCTAGAAGACAGTTTACTCGAGTCCAGGTTAAGATCCTTCGCTATATTCCCAATGTGAGATCCGCGCTTCATTTCCTCCTGAAAGGAATAACTCACGTCCCCATTCGCTGCTTGCCACAATAGAAAGAAAACGAAGCAGCTCATTTGGCGCACCATCATGACAATGAGTCTGGTACTAAGAAAAACGGTATCGTTGAGATTTCAAACTGAATTAGGATTGTACCGTTCCGCCAAAAAGAAAATCGACAGCACGCCACCGTTACTGTGGATGAATCCTACACCAAACAAAAATCTAGCCTTTTATTGGTCCACAAGCGAGAGGGTGGAGTGGAAATGTTTCATGTAGATTAGCGAATAGCGACACCATGAGTGGGGATGAAGAAATAACAGACTGCACAAATAATAATATGCCTAGAAATAACAATAATAAAAATGAATAATAATGATAATAATAATAATAATAACAATAATAACAACAATGTAAAAGTAACATCTTAGAATTATAGAGGAAATGTATCACTTGGTTTACGACTTTGTGCACCGTCAAAACAAACTGTGGGTGTAAAAAATTGCTAATTTTTACAGTGAGTTGCAGTCTTAAATTTCAAAAATTAAGGCGATTCTCTAAATGAATATAAAAACCAAATATCTCTGGCTGGTAGTAATAAGCAAAGTCTCCTCACAACATATTATCATGCAGACACTGTAAACGATGTCTCTGACACATTAAACCTTTTATGCACTGGAAGACCACATAAATAAAATACGTTGTGACAATCTATCAAAATAGAAAAAGAAAGTAATAAATCCATGTGTTAACTTATGCCAAAATCAAAAAAAAAACTTCCTGAAAAGCAGCAATGCATGTCTGCCTACCTCTACATACAGAACTGTGCGCTACACCTTTTAAAAGCAGGAAACCAACCCATCAAACTTTCACATACCAAACCAAAACACATTCACACGCTTAGCTGCATTGCCTCAGAATATACACCTCCTCAAAGAAATAAACTCATATCGTCACATGGACAGTGGAGAATACAAACAGCAATGATAACATTCACTTACATTAAATAAATAAATGATGCACAGACTAAAGCATGTCACAAACACAGTCCTCCCCAACTGCAGGATGCACCTTAGACAAAACATAATTTTTTGAAAATCCCCTGACCTCTTAGGAAGAGGGAGATAGTACAGCACCTAAAACCTTCCATATTTTACATGCCCCTGTAACACTGGCACTGATGCTCCCTGACCCTCACAGAGTTCTTAGCCTTCACCAGAGTTGCATACAGAATCTTCCACCTCATCACCCCAAACATAATCCAGGTTGAAAAGGGAATAAACAGCTGTTTTAATGTTTTAAGTGGATCTCAAAGAGTGTCAAAATTAAACATACAAATTATACCCTGAACATTTCTGTCAGATGGTCTCCCAAATAATTTGTGTAAGTGAAACCCTGTGACTGCAACTGATTTTGCCAAAAGTGTGAGATATCATTCTTTCCACCACAAGTTGTATCCATTGTAAGTTCTAAGATTCATGTTATTATTATTTCGTTCTGTACAATGTTTCAATTAAAAAAATTGTCGGATTCAATTTACTGAGTACTTTAAGGGATATGGGTTCATGCTTGCACAATGAAAACCTGAACAAAAAAACCTAATTAGATATATGTTAAGTAAGAAAAAAAGAAAGAAGGAAAGAACATGTCAATTTCTCCTTGTATTAAAGTTGGAAATATCAGGATCTACAAAAGCATCAGCTATGTCTGCTGTATCTTTCCTCACTGTCTGCTCAGGAAACTTAGTTTCAAAGTAAAATTATGATCTAAAACTCCAAAAGATGGTAAAAATGAAAGACAAGGTTAAGTGACTCAAAAAATAAAACAAAAGAGCAAATTCAACTTTCAGCACCAAGGACAGCACCAACTTGTCCCATTCAACTCAAAGGACAGAGACACAAAGAACACGATGCAGCTGTAGGAAAAACACGAACAGAAACACCAATGTTAAGTGAAAAGATAATATGATTTTAGATAAAAAAAATATACAGAAGAATGTCTATTGTCTCTCCAAAGACCATAAAATTTAAAGTATCTGATTTAAAGAACTTTTGTGTGTGTTCATGAAAAATACCAAAAAAGTTAAACTGAGAAAGTCTTAAAACATTAGGCTACGAGTTATCATTCTCCACGATGCACTTTCATCACTGTCAATATCATGGATGCATGTGGGATTAAATGAAAGTAATGACAGTTCATTAAGGCTGAGTCATACGAGTAAACGTTATCACAAGTGTTTTGCACTATTCAAATGGATGATTCCAAAAATGAAAATAAAAGCAAGTACACGTTACTCAAAGGCTTTGGCTGGATCGTTAAGGCTCAAATATAAATAGGTGAACGCACACGTGACGGCTATCCCTACCTCTGGGGAACCATCACTATCTTCAAACGCATCAGCAAAGTCTGCCGGGCTTTTCTTCAGAGTCTGGTCAGCAGGAAGTGTGTTGTCATTGTAAGATGTCACGAACTTAAAGTCACTGGTTCTAGAACCTGTTGTCAGGTACGCGTCATAATTGTAAGTGCTGCGTAAAGTTCCTGTGCCGTCAACATCTGCGTAATTAGGAGGCAGATAAGCGCTGGGGATGGCGACTGCTCCGTCAAACAACAGTCTGGGCTTTCTCCTGCGACAAAACCTCACACCCAGAATGATGATGATGAAAGTCAGAAAAAAGGTGGACACAGACACCAGAGCGATGATCAGGTAAGAGGTCAGTTTGGAATTCTTCTCATCATAAGAAATATCCTTCAGTTCTGGCACCTCAGCCAAGTTATCAGAAATAAGTAAATACATGGAACAGGTGGCAGAGAGAGAGGGCTGTCCGTTATCTTTCACTGCCACAATAAGGTTCTGTTTCATGCTGTCAGATTCAGAAATGTCCCGCTGTGTCCTGATCTCTCCGCTGTGGAGACCAATAGTAAAAAGTCCCGGATCAGTGGATTTCACTATATGATAGGACAGCCAGGCGTTCTGTCCGGAGTCCGCGTCCACCGCTATCACTTTGGACACCAGAGAGCCTCCGTGTGCAGCTTTGGGGACCAGCTCGGTCATGAAGGAGTTGCCCTCCGGGGCCGGATACAGTATCTGAGGAGAGTTGTCGTTCACATCTAATATGAAGACACTGACGGTCACGTTGCTGCTGAGCGGAGGAGAACCGTTGTCTCTGGCCATCACGTGGACTTTAAAGCTCCTGAACTGTTCATAATCAAACGACCTCACAGCGTGGATCACCCCCGTGTCTCCGTTAACAGACAGATAGGAGGACACCGGGGCACCGTTCACCTCACCAGCTAACAGAGAATAAATCACTGTACCGTTTTGTCTCCAGTCGGGGTCTCGAGCAGTAACGGAACATAAAGTGGAGCCAGGTTTGTTATTTTCAGTCACATATGCGCTGTACGACTGTTCCTCAAACACAGGTGGGTTGTCGTTGATGTCAGCTACAGATAACTCAACAGTTTTAGAGGAGGACAGAGGTGGAGAGCCCTCGTCAGTGGCAGTGATTGTAATGTTGTAATCAGACACTAGTTCACGGTCCAGTTGTCCTGTGGTCACCAGAGAATAATAGTTTTTAAGAGAAGGAACCAACTTAAAAGGAGCATTCTGTTGAATGGAGCAGCGGACCTTTTGGTTATTGTCTGAATCTGCATCCTGCACATTGATGATCCCCACCTCTGTACCAGGTGACACGTTCTCCGGTACTGGATTTGCCAGAGTTTTCACATAGATTACAGGCATGTTGTCATTGACATCGGTGACTTCAACAGTTACCTTTGTGTATGACGATAATCCTAAACCATCCTTTGCTTTAATGCGCAAATCATATGACGTAACAGTTTCAAAGTCAATTGCACCATTAACTTTAATCATCCCGTTTTTACGGTCAATACTAAAAACTTTCTTCACATCTTCAGTAACATGTCCAAAGTCATATGTCACATCTCCATTGACTCCCTCGTCTGCATCAGTCGCGCTCACTGTGACCACCACAGTATCTAAAGGAGAGTTTTCAGGCAGACTGGCTTTATAAACGGCCTGGCTAAACACTGGGGCGTTATCATTAGCATCCAGCACAGTGACGTGTATGACTACGGTACCTGATCTCTGAGGGGAGCCACCATCTAGAGCTGTGAGGAGCAAATTAATGTCCTCCTGTTTTTCACGATCAAGCTCTTTATCAAGAACGAGCTCTATTGTGTTTGCGTCAACAGCCAAAACGAAATTCTCGTTCTTCTTAAGGCTGTAGTGTTGAACTGAATTTTGGCCTACATCCGCATCGTGTGCCTCCTCTATCACAAAACGAGCTCCCCTGCCTGTGGATTCTTGAATTTCTATATTGATCAGTTCTCCGTTGAACTGTGGTGAGTTATCATTAATATCTTGAATGTGTAGACTGAACGGATGCAGCTCCAGGGGATTTTCCAGAACGAGATCGCGTTTTATTACACACGACAGCTTTTCTCCACAGAGCTCCTCTCGGTCAATCCTGTCGGCAACAATCAAATCCCCAGTATTGAGATTGATGTCACAACATCGTTTACGATTCCCTGCGGCATCAACACGGGCGTTTCTAGAAGACAGTTTACTCGAGTCCAGGTTAAGATCCTTCGCTATATTCCCAATGTGAGATCCGCGCTTCATTTCCTCCTGAAAGGAATAACTCACGTCCCCATTCGCTGCTTGCCACAATAGAAAGAAAACGAAGCAGCTCATTTGGCGCACCATCATGACAATGAGTCTGGTACTAAGAAAAACGGTATCGTTGAGATTTCAAACTGAATTCTAGGATTGTACGCGTTCGCCAAAAGCGAAAATCGACAGCGCGCCACCGTTACTGTGGATGAATCTACACAAACAAAAATGTAGCCTTTTATGTGTTAGCAAAGCCAGAGGGTGGGGTGGAAATGTTCATTTAGATTAGCGAATAGCGACACCATGAGTGGGATGAAGAAATAACACACTGCACAAATGATTATGTGCCTAGAAATAACAATAATAAAAATGAATAATAATGATAATAATAATAATAATAATAACAATAATAGAACAATAAAAGACATTCTTAGAAATTATAGTAGGAAATGTATCACTTGGTTTACGACTTTGTGC